GGTCCCTGTGCTTTGCTAAGCTTGTTCTAAGTAGGTGCTTTAGACCACTGAGCCATCTCACCAGCCCAGTGCATTTAAGTTTTAAAATACATTTTTTTGAGGCAAGATTTCACTATGAAGTTCAGACTGCCTTTGAGCTCACTACATAGCCCAGGCTGGCCTCGAACATAACGTGATCCCCCGGCCTCAGCCTCCAGAGAGCTGGGATTACAGGCATAGACCACCACCCCTACAACATTTAGACTTTTAACATTTTCTGTTAAAGAGCCAGGGAGCTAGCTCAGCAACTTAAGTGCCTACCTGGCAAATGTAAGATCCTGAGTTCAATCCAGGTCCAAAAAAAATTGTCAAAGCATCAGGCTTTAATCTAGAAGACAGCGGCTGATAGAGAAGAGAGGGGGTTTCAGCCCCATTGTGTCTGTGCCCCACTTTGTTTCTGTGTTTATTGTTATAACATATAATGAAGCAATCATACAACTCACCATAAGGCAAAATCTCTTCCACTGGCGGCTAGGGTTTTGACCTATGTCTGAAAGCAACAGTCTTGCTACTTTCCCTGCGCAAGTGCGCGTTTCCGCCGATGTCGCTGTGATGCACCTGTTCCGCAGTACAGCTTGGCAACCTCAGCTCCACCTGAGGTCATCAGGCAGAGTCTCCTGAGGATCCCTCACCTAGACTCTGCCCATGCACAGCTCACTGTAGGGTCGGGGCTCCCCGGGGAACCTGACGCTGCCCCTAAGGTGACAGGAGGCAGAGCTCAGGCCGCCAGGGAATGACGAGGGGCTGTGAACAGGGGGCTCAGCCGCTCCCGCTCCCTTCCGGTGTGCAGCCTGCCTCCTAGCAGGTGGGGTCCACAGGCTAAAGGCCGCATCGACTGCTTCTCAGTTCAGTATTTTTTACTCTAAATAGATCAACTATTTTTACTATTATACTGGTTTTTAACACTGTCAAAATAACGCTCCAAATAGCAGCAGTTCTTAACGGCTTCCCGGCCATTCTTGCTCACTTTGTCGTTGAGGAAAGGTAAATGTTGCCAATGAAACTTTTGCAATGTTTATATGGAGATGAAATATTTGCAGATTTATAATGCAGTTAGCTATGGGGGTTTTGTTTTGCTTACTATCACACTGTTTTAAAAAGCTGCTTCGCTGACTTTTTATACATGGTATTTCTCTTCATCTTGATGTGTATTTTTGTGATGCACTTTATAAATATCAACTACCAAGAGAGAAAATACGTCGATGAAGCTGCTTCATCTAAAATTCTGAAAAAAAGTTGTAAGGAAATTATGCTTAGACGTGGGTTGAGGTTTCCCTTTTTAAAAGTTGAAATTGGATACTTTCACTGTAGTTTAATAACACTGTTCTCTTTTTTTAGCAATGCCTAAAGTCATAAGCTTAAACCAAAAGTCTGTTAAACTTCCAGAAAATCTGCCTATGGTGACTACTAAAAAACCTGCTTTTAAAGGTAAAAAAAAAAAAAATCACTACCATGTAGATTGGTGAAGCATTTGTTGCTATTTATCAGTATTCTTAAACTTCTAGGACTTCACCAACAACCAATATTTTGTCTGTTTGTTTGTTTGTTTATGTGATACAGAGTCTCACTACGCATTTCAGACTTGTAGTGCTCCTCCTGTGTCAGCCTCCCCAGCAGCATGTGGTACTGAGGACCAAACTTGGTATCTTGTGCTTGGCAGGCAGGTGCTTATGCCACTGAGCTATATAGATATATTTTTTTTTTCGGTAGTTCTGTATAATTATATGCTTGGAAGCTGGTAAATTTGCCTCAAACCCACGTAAACTTATAGATTCTTCTTACCTGTCATACCTTTAATTTGCTGCAAGATTTTCTAAAATGTGAATATGGAGCTGGGGGTGTAGCTCAGCAGCACAGTGCCGGCCTAACAAGTGCTGAGGTCCTGAGTTCGCTTTGTGGTACAAAAAAAAAAAAAAAGGTTTGGTCCTATTTTATTCAACAATTCTTCAGTTGAATAATATTTCAACTTTTATTTTTGCTACTATACATGATGGTGAAAGAGAGATTTGTTTTGTATTTCTATAAATTAGAGGATGCAATTAAGATTGTTACATTGAGATATATGCTTTTTATTTAATTTAATTTAATTTTTAATTTTTTTTTTTTTCAGAACCAAGGATTGAACTCAGGCCCTTGCACTTGCCAGGCAAGCACTTATTCTACTGAGCTATCTCCCCAGCCTCATGCTTTTAATTTTAAAAGATACTGCCAAGCACTTTTCAAAGTTGGCACAGATAATAATTCTACTAGCAAATACATGAAAGGCCTGTCCACTCAGCATCTAAGGCAGTACCATATGTTCCATGAATTGAAAACATTAGCAGTGTTCAGCGACGTTGATCAGATGTCAGTACTACCCAGAATGACGTGAAGATTCAGTACAGTCTCTATAAAAATTTCAAAGACTTTTTCACAGAAATAGAAGGTCATTCTAAAATTCATACAGAACCTTATGATCTTGAAAAAGAATGTAGGAAGAGTCACAATCATAATTTCAAAACTTACTATAAAGCTGGTTTAGAGTGTGGTACTGGCCTAAAGAGAGATACAGTCTCATATGGTAGAATAAAGACCTCAGAAATAAACCTGCACATATGCCCAAATAACTCTCAACAAGGTCCCGAGATCATTCAATAAGGAAAGCAGAGTCCTCACAACATGTGGTGTTAGAAAAACCAAATATGTAAATGTAGACAAATTAAGTTGGGTTCTTATATAGTAAGAGAAAAGTAATGGATCAAAGACCTACAAATAAGAGTTAACCTGTAGAATTCTTAGAAGAAAATACAGGGAGAAACATTAATCACGTGGGGCTTGGCAATTATTTCTTGGATTCACACAAAGGAAAGTAAGACAAATTGGACTTTATCTAAATTAAAAACATTTTGCCAGGTGTGGTGGTGCATGCCTATAATCCCAGCACTTTGGGAGGCCGAGGAAAGAGGATCACAATTTCAAGCTCATCCTGGACAATTTATTGATTTAGAGAGACCTGCCTCAAAGCAAAAAATTTTTAAAGCTCTGGTTGGGTAGCCAATGCAAAGGTGCTGGGTTCAATCCCCAGTGCCACAAGAGAAAATTAAAAGATTTTGTGTATCAAAGCACAGTATCAACAGACTAAAAAAGCAACACACAGAATGGAAGAAATATCTTTAAATCATTTATCTGACAAGGGATTAACATTTATCAATATATTCATTAAAATCCTGTAAAACTAAACAACCATTTAATTAAAAACTGGGCGAGGCCTTTTTGCTCTAGCTGTTTTGTACTACCACTAACAGCTGCCCTCTGCCATGTGCCACCCTCAGCGAGATGATTATGGACTGAAACCTCCACAAACTGCGAGCTAAATAAACCTTTCCTTCCATATATATATGGCAAAACATTCTAACAGAAAATAAAACAAATAGCCAAAGACTATTAAGAGAAAGTCAATAGCAGTAGTCTTTTGGGAAGATGCAAATCAAAATCACAGTGATATACCAATAAGGGTGGCTATTGGGCAGAAGGGAGAGAGGAAGGGAATGAAGAAAATTAAAAAGTAACAAATATTAGGGAAAATGTTTTGATTAAAACTCTGTGTGCTGCTGGTAGCAATGTAAAATGATGCTGCCCAGTGGAAAACAATATATTTGCTCTTGAAAAATGTTAAAAATAAAATTACCAAATAATCTGGCATATACCCAAAAGAACTGAAACCAGGGATATGAACAGATATTTGGTTGTTTTTTGTTTTTTTTTTTTTTTTTTTTTTTTTTTTTTTTTTACCAGGGATTGAACTCAGGCCCTGAGGCTTGCCAGGGAAGCACTTATTCCACTGAGCCATCTCCCCAGTCCCCAAGGGGGGGTTTTTTGTTTGTTGTGTTTTGTTTTGTGCCATGCCGGGTGGTGGGGGGGCAGGGCTGGCACAGCATGTGGTGCCAGGGATTGAACTGCTGTCCCTGCACTTGCCTAAGCAGGCACTTTAGACCAGTGAGCTCTCTCACCAGCCCATGGACAGATATTTGCATAACCACGCTATGAAGGCATCGTCTATAATAGCCAAAAGGTAGCGGAAGCCCAGGTGTGCACTGACAGAAGAATGGCTGCACAAAACATAGTATGCACCTGGAGTGAAATAGTATTCAGCAAAGAAATTCTGCCATATGTCACAGCGTGAATGACTCTTGAAGACTTTATGCTAAGTGAAGTTAGCCAGTCTCACAGAGATCAATCTGTGCATTTTCCTCACATCTGGGAAAGTTCATGAGCACAGAATAACAGTTTCCAGGAGCTGATGGCAGGAGACAGAGAATTGCTGTGTACAGAATTTCAGTTTTATGAAATAAAAGATGTTCTGGGGGCGGGTTATGGTGATAGGGACACTATATAATGAACTTCTTGATGCCACTAACCTGAATACTTAAAAATGGTTCATATGGTAAATTTTATGTGTCTCAGTTACTCTTCTCTTGTTGCTGTGACAAATACCCAGCACCCAAAATGAAGGAAGGGAAGGTTTATTTAGCTCAGTTACTGGAGGTTTCAGTACATTACTCAGCTGGCTCCAAGGCAGACTGGCATAGGGCAGAGAATCCTTTCATGGTGGCAGCAAAGAACAGAGAGCAAATGGAGGAGTAGCAGCAACAATGGCAACAGAAAGGAAGTCTGTCTCTCTGTCTCTCTTACGTTACATTCAGGCTATCCACCCCAGGCTGGGTGGAGCACTCACACCCAGTACTAAGACCCATAATCCCAGTGGATCATGAGTTAATCTCAAACTCTAGAAGTCCCTGCCTTATGACTGCATGAGGTTTTGGGGGGACAACTAGACATAAACCATAACATTATGTCATACATAATTTACCACAGTTTTAAAATGAACCTTTAAAAATAAAATGCAGGGAGGTTCCATGAGCACGGCGCCCCTGGTGGGCTACAGCAGCAGCGACTCCAAGGATGAGACCCAGAGGGCGGTCGCCGGGCGGACCGGGCCAGCGACTAGGGGTCGCCGCTGTGGCCAGAGCCCCCTTCCCAAGGAGAGGTTTCCAGTACCTGACAGTGTACTGAACATGTTCCCAGATGACAGGCCTGAGGATGACAGTGCCAAACACGGAGGACGCATGCGTACTTTTCCCCATGAGCGCGGCAACTGGGCCACCCATGTCTGTGTACCGTATGAAGCGGGCGAGGAGTTCCCGGACCTGCTTGATGTGCTGCTGCCCCACGCCCAGACCTATGTGCCCTGGCTCGTGAGGATGGAGGCATTCCACCTCAGCCTGTCTCAGAGTGTGGTTCTGCGCCACCACTGGATCCTGCCTTTCATGCAGGCTCTGAAAGACCGTATGGCCTCCTTTGAAAGATTCCTCTTTACTGCCAACCGGGTAAAGATTTATACCAATCAAGAGAAAACTAGGATCTTTGTTGGGCTTGAGGTCACCTCAGAGCATGAACAGTTCTTGGACTTGGTTTCAGAGGTGGACAGAGTCATGGAGGAATTTGACCTCACCACTTTCTACCAGGACCCCTCATTCCACGTCAGTCTGGCCTGGTGCATGGGTGACGCCTGTCTTCAGCTGGAAGGGCAGTGTCTGCAGGAACTACAGGAAATCATGGATGAGTTTGAAGACTCAGAGATGCTGTTGCGAGTGCAGGCCAAGCAGGTCTGCTTCAAGTCTGGGAACAAGTTCTTCTCCATGTCCTTGAGGTGAACGCCAGAAGCCTTCCTTGCCCCAGGCCCATCTGCAGGTCAAGGTCCGCCAGAGATGGAGGGGTCTGCTGAAGTCCATGGGGATGCTCCTGCCTCTCGAAGGCCCCAGTCCCGGGCCCAGTCACAGGTTGGATGCTACTGTGTTGTAGTAATTCCTGAAGTCACCAGTAGAGGGCAGCCTGGACCTTAATTCTTACTCTGAGGTTAAACAGAAGTGAGGGTGGGAGCCCACCTCACTCAGCCAGGATCCCCTTGAAGAACTACCCTTATCCCCGCGCTTCCCTCTGCAGGGATTTCTGTCTTGATGCCATCAGCCTCATACAGGGCTTTTAAAATTGGACCATGGCTCATCCCTGTCAAACAGAGAGGGGGTATTGCTGTGCATCTGTTTTCCTCCTTCAAGTGTGTCTCTTTTATTACTTAGTTTGACTTTCAGTCCCCCCTATGGCAGCAGGGGCCATTTCAGGGCCAAGGAATACAGGGTGCTAGTTTGTGGTTCCTGTCAGTCTCTGCATTCCCTTCCCCCTCTCGCTCCCAGCCAGGTGCCTGGGGAGACAGAGCAGATGTTTCATGTTGGCTTGGGCGTGCCCAGAAGCTGGCCTCCAGTGCTCTGTGACTTCCAAGTACCCAGTCCACCTTCCCAAAGAGGCAGAGGC